GCCCAGTGGTGGACGCCAGTTTAACCCCCAGTACAGGCAGGAGGGGAGGGTGATAAGAACGACTCTGGATGGTGTATTGAAACTCAGAATGTTAAATCATTTGTTTGGGGGAATTAGTGAACTTTATAACTAATGTTTGCTCACCACTGAGTTCTGACCCAACTTAAGTTTAAGTGGCGCTGACTTGGCCTACCTTGGGATTTAAGGGCTGGGGAGCTGGGTGCGATGGTRCACACCTGTAATCCCAGTAGCTCAGGAGGCTGAGTAAGGAGGATTGCAAATTCAAAGCCAGCCTCARCAAAAGTGAGGCGCAAAACAACTCAGTGAGACCCTGTCTCTAAATACAAAGGGCCGGGGATGTGGCTCAGTGGTTGAGTGCCCCTGAGTTCAATCCCCAGTACTAAAAAAAAAGGAGACGCTGCTGGCTCAGTGGTTAAGCACCCCTGGGTTCAGTTCACAGTACTAAAAACAAAAACAAGCCATTGATAAGTGTGAGAACTACTTCTACAAGTCCACCCACTATATATATATATATATATATATATATATGATATTATTTATTTATTTACTTATTTTGTTTTTCGTGTCTTCATACATGTACTTTGGATAATAATAATGTCCATCACATTTCACCATTATTTCTAACCCCTGCCCCCTCCGTTCTCCTCCTACCCCTCTGCCCTATCTGGAGTTCGTCTCTTCCTCCCATGTTCCCCCTCCCTACCCCACTATGAATCAGTCTCCTTATATTAAAGAAAACATTCGGCATTTGGTTTTTTGGGATTGGCTAACTTCACTTAGCATTATTTTCTCTAACTCCATCAATTTACCTGCAAATGCCATGATTTTATTCTCTTTTATTGCTGAGTAATATTCCATTGTGTGTATATGCCACATTTTATTTTATCCATTCATCTACTGAAGGGCATCTAGGTTGGTTTCACAGTTTAGCTGTTGTGAATTGTGCTGCTATAAACATTGAGGTGGCTGTGTCCCTGTAGTATGCTTCTTTTAAGTCCTTTGGGTATAGACCGAGGAGAGGGATAACTGGGTCAAATGGTGGTTCCATCCCAGTTTTCCAAGGAATCTCTACTGCCAGGTTTCTGTTCTCGAGACTAAAAGGCTCAGGTTTACTCCAGTTGAACTGGGCTAACTGGGCTGCACGAAATAACCACACAAGAGACACAAATACCTTTTTCATTGGGGTCACTGTGACGGCTCCTCTGACCTTAAGGGTCCACAGGAAGAGGGAGAGAGAGAGCATGCGCTGACCCCTTTTATTGAGGAGAAGCTACTCAAATGAGGCCAGGGGTCAGGTTTCAGGGGGCTGAGTATCTTCATGATGTCCACTGTCAGCAGGTTGACTGACACCTGGGTAGGCCACACSCAAKGRCACAGTAAGAGRAGGGGACACACACMAGDCACTTCCATGGAAGATTCTATCCTAAACAGGGCAAGGGGTGATATTACAAAGGAACAGGTGAGCGTAGCTCCGCCCACGGGGCTGTAGGAAGACACACCCATGCAGGAGACACCGACYCTBRAACCYAAGAAGGGTGGGGAAAGCTCTGCCACATKTCTGTGACTGAGCGCCTCAGCACCCAGCCGGGAGTGTGACTCAGTCACGTGCAAGGTTGGTCTCCCACACTCTACTGCTTTCCATATTGGCTGCCCCAATTTGCAGTCCCACCGGCAGTGAATGAGTGAGCCTTTGTCCCCACATTCTTGCCAACACTCACTGTTGCCTGTATTCTTGAGCATTGCCATTCTGACAGGAGTGAGATGAAATCTTAGTTTTGATTTGCATTTCTCTAATTGCTAGAGATGATGAGCATTTTTTCATGTGTGTCGATTGGTTGTCTATCCTCTTCTGAGAAGTGTCTGTTCAGGAGACTCGTACAGCACAAGAATTAAAATCAAGAATCAGTAAATGGGATGGACTCAAACTAAAAAGCTTCTTCTCAGCAAAAGAAGCACCCTGTGAGGTGGACAGAGCCTGCATCGGGGGCAGATCTTCACCCCTCACATCAGGTAGAGCACTGATCTCTAGGGTACATAAAGAACTCGAAAAGCTAAACACCAAAAAGACAAATAACCCAAGATCATAACTGGGCCAAGGACCTGAACGGTCCACCACTTTCAAATGATCCTCCTACATTTCCTACATTTCTAGGTAAAACCACACAGTGCAGGGCCTCGGTCCTTACTCACCAGGGCACCCGCTGGGCTACAGGGGGTAGCCCAGCATCCTGTTTCCCTCTCCTCGTCTGGGCCGGAGCCAGGGCCCTCCAGCTCCTTTGGACACACCCGCTGTCCTGTCCAGCTGTCCTGCTGTCCTCTGAGGAGCCTTCTGCTCGCTCAGAGGGCGTGGTTGGCTCCCAGGCTCCCTCTGGCTGCAAGGCCTGTCACTCCTTCATCGCGGCCTCTCCCCTGAGGGTCTCAGAGAGCCACAGCTTCCTGCCCCSGTGGACCACACAGTGGGCCTCCCTGGAGTTCCGCCGCTCTCCTGGGACTCAGGGCAGAGCTGGGATAATGGCCTCTCTTCAGCCTCCTGCGTGGTCAGGAGACCAGGGCCACCCTGGAGCCAGGGTCATGCGGGAGGTGGGGGCGAAGGGAGTCAGAGAAGCGGTGTCTTGGCCAGGACTTCGGTGCCCTGTGCTCTTCCCTTTTAACCCTTTTGGGAAGGATCTCAAAAACCAACTCGMACCACGGGGAGAATGGCACAGGAGGCGCAAAACATGATCTCTCTCTGGAATTTTTGCCTTTTGACTGGGAAGGCGGACAYCAAGGGAGTCAGTTGCTGATTTTGACATTTTACACAACTGGATGAGACAAGRGAGGGGTGGGAGGCAACCATGTTGAAGACCGTCCCCTTCGATCATTCATTTTCTGGCAACTATTTACTGAGTACCTACTATGTAAGCGGCCTGGACTCAGTGACAGTAGTAGTGGTGACGTCTTGGACCTCCTGGGGCTCAGGTGCACTCTGGACACGTGACACTTTATTGCACAGAACAACAAGGCTGATTTCCTTGGTGACTTGTGAAACCTAGTCCCCACTTCATTTGAGCAGCATTTGATTCTTCCCGGTGCCTGCGACGGCTTCGTGAGCCAACCGATCATACTTTCGTGAGACATTCTGTCCATGTTATTTTTACCTGGTTCACAGAGCACAAAGTTCACTAGAACTAAGCAAAATTTAATTTTGAAGCCAACAATGGAAGAGTGTTGTGGGTGCTGCTCAGTTGGGGACAGTCACTTTCCGCCTGCCCCGTGTGGTGTCCTTTGGTAACAGCGCTTTGAGAACCACCGGGTCCTGGTCACAGTCGTGCAGATGAGCCGGACTCACTCACCGTGGCTGCAGGAGCGGACACTGAATCTGGCCTCTCCCTGGTCATAGGGTGGTTCAGGTGCAGGCACGCGGGCGCTGCTGCCCGTGGGAGGCCTCTCTAGTGCCTGGAGCCAGTGGACCCTTCCCTGGGGTCTGCAGGCTGGGAGGAGCCTGCCTAAGGATATGGCCCACTGTGTGAGTCAGCTTTTCGTCTCTGAGACCAAAATACTTATCCACAACATCTGGGAGGAGGAAATGTGTGTTTGGCACTCGGTTTCAGAGGTCTCKGTCCAMGGTCAGCTRGCTCCAWTGCAGAGACGTCGCGGTGGAGGGGCACGTGGAGGAAAGCTGCCCAGGAGCAGAGGGAGGGGAGGGGGCTGGGACTGGATCCGCCCCAGTGACCAACGGCCTCCAACTGGGCCCACCTCCCGTAATCCACTCAGCCACCGCTGAGGAGGGCAGCGCCCRGATCTCGTCCTAGAGCCTCGCTGTGCTGGGGACAGTGTTGCCAACTTGCGAGCTTGCAGGGAAATTCCAGATCCAAGCCACAGCCCCCCAGAGGGGGCAGCAGGGCCCCAAGTGAGACCCCCGAGTTACCTGAGCACCTGTTCCGCCTGCRTGTGGACGTTCCAACCTGTGACCAGCAGAGAGGTGCTGAGGGGCTGGGAGCRAGCTCGGCCTTCCTCTGCCCATCCGAGTTGGGCTCCTGTCACCAGCAGTGTCCTCACTCATTCGATGGCATCAAACTTTCACCAGAACAAAAGAGTCAACTGCTTTCCTTTCCACTCAGTTATTCCTTTACTTGACATGTATTAGCTGAGCATCAGCCAGCCAGTCCTGGTCCAAATCCTGCSCAGCCACCTGGACTTGGCTTCCTGGGTGGGAGCGCGAGGCTCAGAGGCCGGGGCTCCTCAAGGTCGCGGAGTTGCTGTCCCCCGTGCGGCTGAAAGAGCAGCAAGGCCCCCTTGCAGGCACGGCAGGTCTGTTCAAAGCACACAGAATTGTTTTCCCTTGCTCTCTCTCTGGARTCAGGAAGGCCCAGTCTGAAGTTCGAGCGTGACTACAAGGAGAGTGGAAGAGGGAGTCGACTCCTCTCCTGCCTGATTGCTGTGGAAGATCTGGGTTCTATTTTTAGCCTCTAAATGAACCTAAATAAAGGCCTTCCTGGCCTGGTTCTGACTTTGTGCCACCTAAGATGCCAATGGCCTTCTGCAACCGCAGTTCAGAAGTCCCCAGGTCAACCAGGCCGGGGCAAGGCCTGATGGAGGGCTCCAGGAGGGCCGAGGACACCTTTATGGCAGTACCAGAAAAGGGCCTCCTGTCCCTAGGGGACCCCTGCCCAGAGGCCCCATCAGCAGTTGGCATGGCCTGGGGTGGGTCACTGCCTTCCCCCGYGGATCAAATGGTGGGTTGACAAGGGTCAGGGTAGGAAGGGCTCCTGGCCATCAGGCGGCTCCCCCAACCCCGCCCCCTCCCCTGCTTTTTCTCCTGTGCCACTGGGTTTAGACCCTCAAGAAGTGTGCCCTCCTTCTCCACCCCAGGCTCCTGTTCCACACTGTTCTTGGCACAGTGGTGTGCACATCCCCCCGGAGCTCGCCCAGATCTGCGTGTGAGCAGACCCCGTCCACAGACAAGCAGTACCCAGACCTCAAAATAACCGACACGAGTGTTAAAATCTAGAGTTTATCATAGCAACCGCAGTATCGTCCCAACCGGGTTTCAAGTTCGTTACAAAGTCACAAACTATTTTAAAACAATTTGAAAAAAATACATGAGAATCTCAAATGTGAACACTGTGCTGGGTTTAGAAAGACTAAGTGGGATGAGAAACCTGAGGTACCCCGGAGACACAAGGCCTTTCTGTCTGGCACTGTTGTGACGTCAGGGCCGAGTGGCCTGACGGGCTCCCACTGCCACAGCAGCTGCTGAGGCACTCGATGCCAAGCCAGAGAAGACCCCAGGCACACGAGGGACCCCTCCCCTCACGGGTCAAGGAGCRGTGGCCGGGCCTTGCACCTCATGTCCTCTCCAGCGGTATTAAACACGAGCCACCCGGAGGATAGACCCGCCTGGGCCGGCAGAAGGGCCGAGAGAGGCTCCAGCCAGGGGAGCAGGGGGGTGTCTGCATGGGCAGGGAGCGTCCGGGAGGCAGGCGGGCGGAGTCAGCCAGCGTGGCTCAGGGGCCCAGCTTGGCCACCAGCTGTCTGTGGAGTCCCTCCGGCCCCCTCCTGGTGGCAGCAGGCTTGCCCWGAGCCAGCGCCCACTGGGAGTCTCAGCTGGAGAAGTGGACAGGAGCGCTCTAGAGGTGGAGTAAGCCAACCTTTTTTCTTTTTAAGGCTTCAGTAAGTATCTCTTTGGGCCCAGTGTTTTCAGAATCGGCGGGCAGCTCACCTGTGCAGAAGCTGAAAAGCTGTCTCTGGGGCTTTGATACAGTCTAAGAGTTTCTATAACTTACAGGAATTCTATTTTTAGCAAGATGATTTTCTTCRTTTCCACCCACCCAAAGTTAACTTTTACTGACCTTGGAGAGCCACAGAGATCTTAGACTAGCGAAAGGCTGAACTGTACACAGGCAGCATCAGGTCAGCCCAGTCGGCTCAAAGGGCGGTGGGCTGCAGGGGGGGGGGTGCCCAGGGTCCCCAGGCTGTCCCTGGGGAGCTGTCACCACAGTCAGTGGCTTTACACATTGACAGAGTCCATCAAATGACACAAGCTCAAGCTGATAAGCTGCTGCCCGTGGATTCACTCTCCATCCACTGGGACKTTGGGCATGGAGGCCAGGAACAGCCGTCCGGGTTCCTGTGTCCCCTGCCGGCGTCAGACGGCATCTTCTGCTTCTGCGATGGCTTCTTTTGCTGCTGCTGCTGCTGCTGCCATTTTTGCTGCCACTTCCAAAGAGATGTCTGTAGCAGCTTTGCCACTAGGGACCACGAGCTCCTTTTCACATTTTGGTRTCCTGGAAGGGGCTGTCGTCCTGTGAAGAGCGGGAGAGGATGAGTTGGAAGCGAATGAGAATGGGACGCTGGACGCTCAGCAGGCCTCCCTGGGGGTGCCCCACGAGGCGAAACCCAGGCTGGGGGCAGCAGTATTCACGACATTAGGAGCTTGACATCACCTTTACAGGCACCCACCCATCCCCATTAACTCTGTTAAGGTGAGACAATGAGGCACAGAGTGGGGAAGTGGCTTCCCTTAGGTCACACAGCTAGTAAGTGGCGGAGTCAAGATTTAAATCCAAGGACCAGAGCTTGAGTCCTCCACTACAAGGGGATTCCCATTCAATTTCCTTTTCCTGAAATATCGCTCCAAGTTCTATGGCCACATACACATGGGAAAAGATCACAGTGAAATGAAGAGAGATGGCTGGGCTGGGGGTGTGGCTCAGACAGCGCCCCTGCCCTGTGCCAGGCCCTGGGTTTGACACCCAGCACTGCAGAAGCTAAACAGAGGCCTGATGCTGGTGTAAGAGGACACCACGGGCGATCCACTTGCCATTCGTTCTAAGGTTCACTGTCAGCGAGCTCCTCCTGCCAGCAGCGGGGCCGGGACTCAGGCCTCCTCCACCGACTGAGAAATGGAGCCTTTCATGAACGTGCCCATGATCTGTGATGTGGACCATCCTAGTGAGCTTTCCTGGCCCCAAGCAAATGCACAAGGAGGTTGGCCATTTATCCTGGGGACAATTAAGAAGGCCCGGGAGGAGAGGGTGGAGATGCCTGGCAGCCAGGGCTGGGCCCAAGGAGGTCTGCAGCAACGGCAGCAGTGAGAGCTCTCAGTGGAAAGGACAGCAGAGCAGGGAGGAGGCGGTGCTGGTGGGGAATGGTGGGTGCAGGGGCTGGCTGGCTGCAGCCTGGCTCCCACCATGAGGCAATGGGGAGCCATGAAGGGCAAGGACTCCAGCAAAGCTCAGCAGGTAGAGAAGAGTGGACTTCATTTCCCCGCCAGCAGTATCCAGTCTCAGGGCAGGAGAGGCGCCAACAGAGGTGGTATTTTAAGGAAGATGAATTTGGTGCGAGTGTGAGGGGCTGGTCTGGAGCCCAGGAATTCTGGTGGGAGTTGTGGCTGTCACAGAAATGAGAAGGAGACGGTGGCAGTGCTGGGAGGGAGGCCAGCAGAGGGGTCTCTGGGAAGGACCGTGGCTAAGGAGGGTGGAGGTGGGAATGCAGGGCCATGCACCACCAAGAACTGGAGGGACAGGGCCACCCGTGGAGCCTCAGCCACCTGCCTGGGGTCTGGGAGTSTAAGGGAGAGGATCTCAGAGAGCACAAGGCAGGGGGCTCTCAAAGAAAGCCGCCTCCCCAGCGGAGGAGGAAGGCTCCAAGTGAAAGTGGAGGAAGCACAGAGCCTGGCCTGGGGCAGCCTGGAGCTGGGGAGCAGGAGGTGCCCAGGCTGGTGCGACCCCAGTGAGGCTTGTCCTTGGCAAACCTGGCTGCCCCGCCCAGTGGGATGGTGGGTGCTGTAGGGACCCCCTGCAGCGCCTCCTCCCTCGTGACCTGCTGTTCCAATGGCCACCTGCCCGCCACGGCAAGCCCCTGGAAGACTCACTCTTTTGCCAGGAAATGTTAAATGCCCGTGAGGGGTGACCAGGACGGGGCTCTCTCACATCTCCGCCCTGCCTTCCCCTGAAGAGCAGAGCGTCCCGTCCCGGGGGCTCCACAGCCCGCCCGTGGAGGGCAGACCCGCGCACTCGCCTCTGTCTTTCCCATGCGGAGCCCGGTGTCTSCCACGGGGTGGGGGTGAGTGGTGGTCAGTGCACGCTGCTGGCATTCACCTGGTCAGAACTAGTTTTTCTGACCAATGTATTTCTGCCAATCCAGGCACACGGCAGGGATTGGATCAGCGGGTGGAGGAGCGGCTTAGGGGTGTCTGCCTCTGCCAGGTGGGGAGGACCTAGGACCKCGGTGCCCGAAGCTCCAGGGGCTGCCTCAGGTCGCCCTCGCTGGCTGGCGCTGACTTTGCACTGGGCCGCGGGCATTCTGATCCTCACCTTGACCARGCTGGGGAGGGACAGAAGAGCGGAGGCCAGGCCCCTTGCAGAGCRAAGTCCGCACAGGGGCGGAGGAGCTCTGAAGGCCGTTTGAGCTGATGACCACAGCGGGTCCCCATCTGTCACAGTGATTGAAATCAGTGGCCCYGGGCAGCTCCTGGACCTCCTGAAGCCTGGATGTCTGTCTCTGTAAACCCAGGGACTGGGTTAAAACCCAGGTTTTGCATCTCAGTGAAATAAGGAAAGGAGGAGCGTGGAGAGGCTGTGTTTGGGGGTGACCCCTGGGGGCTTGGCCAAGGTTCCTTTGTCAGGCGTGTGCTACGGGGAGACCTTGAGCCAGCCCCAGGCCCCCACAGGCTGCGGGAAGCCTCCTCCCCGAGACCCCCCTGAGGTGCGGTCCTGCCCTGCTAGCTCTAAATCCAAGGGACCCGACCCTTCAGGACGGGAAGAGGCTGTTGGTGAGATGAGAGGCTTGGCAAGGCAGGCACCTCTAGCCTGAGCACAATCAGACTTGGGAACCAGGGGGCCGCTTGGACCCTAGAAGGAGGAAGAGCAGGCTTGTAGGTGCCTTCTGGGGCCTGGTGGACTCTCTCAGCTCCAGGGGCGCACTATAAATCTAGGCGAGGGGACTGGGGACATAGCTCAGTTGGGAAAGTGCTTGCCTCGCACGCCCAAGGCCCTGGGTTCCATCCCCAGCACCACACACACACACACACACACACACACACACAATCTAGGCCGCAGGTGTCTCCCTTAGAATGGAGGGTGTAGGAAATCGGAAGCCCAAAGGTCTCAGTCACACCTCCTTGTCCTCCTCTGGTTTTCGTGATGGAGTGGAGGGCGCCTGGGAGCTCTGCCACCACCCACTTCCCTTCCACCTTAGTCCTGTCCTTGGGTTACTGCTCTGGGGTCAGCAATTTTCTCACCTCTTTTAAAGTTCATTCATTCACTCAACAAATATTTTTTAGGAACCTTTTACATTCCAAGTTCTGGAGTAGGTAGGTATCAGGGATGCACTAGGGGAAAAGAGTAGAAAAGATGATAATAAAACAAACATGAGAATTCACAATGTGATACCCACCATAGTGACACAGTGGGCTAGTGGCAGTGACTGACGGGGAGGATGGACGCCTCTGAGAGAGCGTCCAGACAGGCTTAGGCGAGGAGGGGCCATCTAAGCTGAGAGCTRGGTGGGGGTGGTAGTGGCCATGCCAGGGGGCAGAAGGTGAAGCTCTGCAGGGGACAGGCAGGAATGAGTGCACCCGGTGTCTGAGGAACACAACCACATCATCCCGGCCTGAGCACACAGCGGGGGGGTGGGAGAGAGGGGCACGTCCAGTCCTGCCCCTGGAGCTGGCCAGTGCAGCCTTATTTGGAAATGAGGTCTTTGTAGATGTGATTAAGGGTTTCACGGTGAGATCACTCTGGATTTAGGGCAGACCCTCTGTCCAATGGCTGGTACYTTACAAGGGAGAAGAGAGGAGAATCTGAACCCCGCGGGGGACGCCCAAGGCCGGGTGAAGGTGCAATTGCYGGCCACCGTGTGGCCAGCAGTGCTGACGAGCCCCAGGGCTGGAACAGGCTGCAGGGCCACAGCAGGGAGGGACGGCTCTCCCTCCTGAGGCCCCTGGTCCAGAGGTCACAGCACCTAATTTTGGAGCCCAGGTCCCYAGAACAGTGAGGAAGTGTCTTTCTGTGGTTTTAAGCTGCCACATTTGTGGTCACTCATAGACAGCACCCACACAAGGGCAAGTGAGCCCAACTAACCACCCCCCATGCCCCCACCCTGGGGCGCTGCACAGGAACAGAATGCGCGGTGGGAATAAAAGTGGCAGCGGAGCCAGGGGAGGCTCCTGGTAGGACGCCGCGGTGGCGCGTGAACCCCTGAGGCCCAGCGAGGGGAGAACGCGGGGTGCTGGGCTGACGGGGACGAGCGGGTGCTGCCAAGGTCTGGCCTTGGTCTTTTTGTGGTGCTGGGCACCGAACCCAAGGCACACAGGAGGCAAGTGCCACGCTCAGCCCAGTGAGATTTTGGGGGGAAATTTCAGGTCTTTGGGGAAATTACCCCAGTCTTGGGGGCTGTTCTGTCCCTAAAGCAAAGCTAGGTGAGCTCCAGCTGGGATCCTGGGAGCTGGGGAGGGGGAAGAGCCAGGGGAAGGTGGAAGGTCCAGAAGAGAGGAAGGTAKCGAGGCCAGCGGTCCCCTCCTCAGGGGCAGCAGAGCCCAGGGCCTGAGCGGATGTCACGGAGAGCCTCCTGGGCTAACCGCCCAGCTCAAATGCCACCTTCACCGGAGGGTCCTCAACTCCTTCCCCGATCCCCACACAACCCCTTTTCCGTCCCCTGTGCTTTGGGCTTCCCCAGGAGTGTCCTGCCTCCACGTCCACGTGCCGAGGAGCCGCTGGCYGACTTGCTGGTCTGGGAGTCTCTCTTTTCTTGGAAGGAGCGCCCTGGTTTCCCCCTGGGGCCCCCGACAGCCGTGAGCCCAGGGCCCTGCACTGGTGGCCCCAGTTCCCGACTGTGCCAGGGCTCTYGCCCTCCACACACACTCAGCCCCCCAGAAGTCCCCGCCAGCGAGGCGCTGACCACAGGAGACACGCTTCCCTTCCTGTCCTGTCCCCTTGTCCTGTCAGCGACAGCCTGTCTCCCTGCAGCCTGCACGAGGCTGGAGCCAGGCACCTYGGTTTCCGCCCACTGAGCTGCTTCATCACAAGCACAGGGCGTGTGACAGTGCACTCCTGGGCCCTGCACAGCTGTCCTGGGAGACCGAGCCGGGCCACCTACCGTGGGGACCTTGCTGCTGGCCTCCAGTGTGGCGTGGCTGGAGCCTGGCTGCAGAGCTGCCGGCTCCTCTGGCTTTCCCTGGCCTTGCTCTTGTGCAGGGACATGGCCGTCCTTCAGGTCTTCAGGAAGATGCTGAGGGGCCTCGTCCCCGACAGCTTCRCGCTCTGGCTCCTCAGCACCTTGGCCCTGGCGTCCAGGTGGGTCCTCTCCATTTCCAGGGCTCTCCCCCTTCTCCTCCGTGGACTCCGCCCTCTCCTTCTCCTCTCCGGTTGCCTCCTCCTGCACCAGGCCCCCTGGCCCAGCCTCTCGCTCTGGGCTGGCCGTTCCGGAAGRTTCTGGGGCCTCCTGTGCTGGGCTCTGGCCAGCTGCTTCTGAATTCTGCCCGGCCTCCCCTTGCTTGGCCTCCCCTRGGGTGCTGGCCTTCTCCTCTGGCTTCCCGTCGCATCCTGAGGTTCCCCTGTCCCCCTCTCCCTCTGGCCCCTGGCTGGCCGGGGGCACCCCTGGGGCCCTGCTCCTGGCTGTGAAGACGTCATCCCCGTTCTCCTCCCKGGTGCCGTTCTCCTGAGAGGCCCTGACCTCTCCCAGCTCCCCGCAGTCCGACTGCGACCTTCGGAACCGCCTGGAGGGAGGGCGCCTCTTTATGGAGCCCCTGGTCCGCACCTGGAGGAAGGAGAAAGAGAAATCACCCAGAACCTGTGAGAGGGCCCAGAGGGGGCTGCTGTCCTTCCAGGGCCCGCTGGTGCTCCCCGACTGCCCCCACCCGTGGCTCAGCTTCCCGGAGAAGCCCCCGTGCCTGTCCCCTGAGGCTGCTCTCCGTCAGGAGAAACAAGGTGGCYGCGAACGCTCTGCCCCGGGAAACGCCACCAGTTTGGTGTCTAACTTGGCGATTTTGTGGGAAGATCTTTTTAAGGCTGTACCCATAAGCCATCAGTTCTTCAAATGCTCGGAGTGGACTCGGTGGCAGGCTTCTTCCTACACTGACGAGTTGGACACAGTCTGGCTCTATTTGTAAGAGTCGGGCTTTAACATTTTTTAGACAAAGGTGCGCCCGCCAAGGAAGAGGCCTGAGGTCTGGAGATGACCTGGCCCTGGTCAGGGACCTCACGGGCCGAGCTGGACGGCCGTGACCAGCTTCCTCTCTTGCCCCCGCTGGGTCTGCCTTGGCCCTCAAAGCTGGCTCACACTGGCAAAGCTGAGCCGCGAATCCTTTGCTTCCTGGGAGTCAGGCCCAGGGTCGGGAGCCCTACCTCAGCAGCTTGGTGTGATCCTCTGCATCCAAAGCAGGTAGGGCTCAGGATCAGGCTTCATCTGGGACACTAGGCTTTGCCCTACGTGACGGAAGCCATGTCTCCTTTAACGCTACGTCAACTGTTTTGTCACCCTATTTCCCCGCTGATGACATTTGGTATCTGTCGATCCCAGCTCCTTGGCCGAGGCTTGGAGTAAGCTCTTGTTTCTCAGGGGACTTCCCTGGACCTGCTCCCTAGCTGCTGTCAGAGCCCCTGGGTGTGTGGCCAGGTGCTGTCCTGCCTCCCTGCGGATGTCCTGTGGGAAGGACGGCTCTCCACCGGGCGCCAGCTGCCTCGGGTCCCAGCACCCTGTGGTGAAGGGCCTCCGCCCAGGCAGCAGCTCAAGCCTGCCCGTCATCGGGTCAGAACAGGGAATCCTGCGGTCCTGGTGGCCCCGGCAGCCCTCTGTGTGAGCCACMGGTCAGTTCCTCACGTCTGTTTCCAGGTCCCTGCCTGTGCAGCTGGGCTCCATTCTGAATCCCCACGCTCTCCACAAAGCAGAGCCCACTCTGTCCCCAGACTGTGTCGGGCCACCACGGGGACAAGGCAGGGAGGGAGGAGAGAGGYGGCTAGCTGGAAGGTGAGCTTAGTTCAGGAGTCACTAGTGGGGGAGAGGAGCGGTTTCTTCCCCTCCAGGACAACAGGGGAGGGGASATGCAGGGTCACCTGGCCCAGGTAGCACCTGGGAACCGGAGTTTACCTTATTGTAACAGGGCAGGTGACTACCTTCGGGTGGCTGGTCGAAGCTGACAGGCACCTCCTCGGTCTCGCTAGGCCGGGGCCGCACGCCAGGACTGCTGGGGGTGGACGGGGGGCTGTGGAACGGTGACACCATGGCCTTGAGTCCAGGACTCTTGGGCGAGGCCCCGGGCAGCAGAGCCGCTGGATCGAAGGTTAAATTGGCCTGTTGAGAAAAGGTGAGGAGTTTCAAACAGGGGTGGGGAGAGGGCCAGGGCTTCTGCTTGGGCTTGTGGGTCACCTGGCTCGGAACTGGCTGAGATGGGTGAACTCGAGGCTTCTCCCGTCACTTGGCAGCCAGTTCTCTGGGGCCACAGCATGGCCTGCTCCCTCCCTCTGGCTRCCTGGCTTGCCACACGCTGGCTTCCAATGCTGGCGGGTCCAACCAAGGGGCCGGCACCGATACTGCCCCAGCTGGTAGCTCAAACAGCAGCTGCTAGGCACTGCAGGTCCCCGGGTCTCGCGGAAGGTCGGTCCCCACCGCTGCCAGCCACTCAGCGGCAGCTGCTACGCAGCGGAGGCCCCGCTTGGCACTGGCAGAGGTCACCTCGGCAGCAGCCCTGCGCGTGGGGTCTGTTCTCATGAACACATCGGGAACCTGGCAAGGGACCTCTCCCCGGAGCTCGGCCTCAGCCTCCCGGTTCCCTCCTGGTGGGTGCCAGCATGGTGGCCACCGCTGCCTCCTCTCAGGTGGGAGGGGCAGAACCCACCCGCGAGTGCCTCACTGGGAAGTCACGGTGCAGGTGAGTCTGCATCGAAATCGCCGAGGGTGACCAAAGGGAGGGTTGGGCAGGGGAGGGCGGGTAGACCCCAACCCACCCGCTGCCATGGCAGGAGGCATCAATGAAGAGAGTGCTCGAGTGTCCCCCTCCTGCCCTCTCATCGCCAAGTCACTGTGTGTCCTCCAGACAGCAGTGGGGCCTCACCAAGAAGAACAGGCCAGGACAGGCAGCTGCAACYGGAGGTCCATGGGTTCTCAATCTTGCACTTCACAGCTGCTGTGTGACCTTCTGCCAGCCCAGGGGCCTGAGTCTCAGATTGTTATCTTTCCATTCCTTTTAGGCTGAACTCCAGAGTCTTTATAGAGGACCCTGTTTGCTGTCTTCTGTGACTCACGGCTCTTACCTCACAGGCACACCCTCCTGACTGCCCTGGGCCCCCACCTCCTCCAGCCAAGGCTGCTGCCCTGGAGAACCCTCGGTGCACTCAGGACTTGCAAACTACAGAGTACTAACGGGTTTAAGAAAGCATCAGTATTTTTATTGTGATCCTAATAAGGGATGAATAAGGCAAGAACGAATCGTGGAAATAATTAAATGTAGCCAGGTGCAGTGGCACACGCCTGTCATCCCAGCAGCTCGGGAGGCTGAGGCAGGAGGATTGCGAGTTCAAAGCCAGCCTCAGCAACAGCAAGGTGCTAAGCAACTCAGTGAGGCCCTGTCTCTAAATAAAATGCAAAAAAGGCTGGGGATGTGGCTCAGTGGCCAAGTGCCCCTGAGTTCAATCCCTGGTACAAATAAATAAATAAACAAAAAATGAAATGTATAAAGTATTCAAGTGAAGAAGCCACATGCTGAGCCCAAGCCAGGTCAAGAAACAGCACGTAATCGGTGCCACGGGGAGGCTCAGCCCTCAGAGCCGTGGGAGTCGAGCAGGGCCAGCTCAGGGCTGGGGGCAGAGCGCCTTCTCCTGGCTGTTAAAGGAGGCTCCCCGCCCCTCCAGACTTTTCCCAGGGAAATCCCTCCCTGTGGCTGCTTGCAAGTAAAGTGGATCTTCCTAATCAACCACACAGACACAAAGAAAGCTGACCTTTGAATCAAGGACATTCTAGTGAAGAGAATCCAGTTCCAAACTGACGCAGTAGGGCGTGAGAGGAAAACCCCACGCCGACGGTGGCTTCCCTGTCCCCTCCCCAACCCGTTCCCCATGGGCTTTGGCTGACATTCTTAAGGAGCCTCAACAGTTACACGTCCAGACCTCATTCTGAACTCGCCAAGTTTTCCAAAAAGGCTCATTAGTGACTGGGAAAGGGAACGGACGCACAACAGGGTACAGAACTTGGAAACTAAATCGCTGGCCCTTGGACCAGAGTGTGGAGGGCCACAGGGAGGCGGAGGCAGGGTCCCCGGCTCCACCCCTAGCGGGCTGCCGGGAGGAGTTCTGGAGTGCTGGGCCCTTCTGAGATCCCTGGAGGGTCTGTGGGGCCCGGAGCCTAGAGTACAGGACAGTACCTTGGCCCCCAAAGACCAAGGTTGAGAGGCCCTGATGGATCAGCAGGAGCTGGCCCACCACACACCAGATCTTGGCCTTTCCCTCCATGTCTCTCACTGTATCAGGTGTGAAAACCTTGTCTCCCCCACAAGATTCTGAGCTCAGGGCAGAGTCGTCGGTTCATGGACACCCCAYGGGCCTGCCCAGCCGTGGGTGCAGTGTGCAAGGGTTCTGGGCACACAGTGGAGGGGCAGGGCAGAATGCCGGCCAACCAAGGGATCTGGTCAGGTCCCCGCAACACACAGTGGCTCTGTTGCAGCCCTGAGTGAGGCTGAAGTGGTGTGTGGCTGGCTCGGGCCTTTGAGCAGAGGGCTCCGTCTTCCTGGATGTTTCTTGCAGTTAAAGTGTACTTTTCCAAGACTCYCCGGGCACCCATTACCTGTCCACTCATGCATGACGTGGTCCTTGTTAGAATTTTGCCCCAGGTGAAGGCTGCCAGTCTTGCCCTTTAGGGCAATTTGGTCATTAACTGGTTACAGGGGACARCTATCCAGGTGAAAATGGGGAGCACCCCTTGGAGCCCCCAAGACCTTCGACCTTGGGATGAGAAATGGAAGAAAGGGAGCGGCGGGCCACGCACTCTGCACCTACCTGGAGCTTCTCGATCAGGGGCGAGCTCTTCACCTTGACTTTGGGCGGGTGGCCAGCACTGGGCGGTGATTTCTATGGAACAAATGGACCAACACGAGCAAGTGAGTGAGGTGAAGAGGGCGGGCTCTGTGGAGCCCAGAGCCCGGTGGAGGACAAGAGGAGACACGGCCTTCCTCACCCCACTGCTTCTTTCCATGCCTACCTGGCCTCAGGCCCAGGCAGGCCGGTCCCCCATCTCACCACCAGCAAGACCACGAGCCTAGGAAAAGTCAGGGCAGACGCACACGGAGCCCCCCATGCCAGGGAGAATGACCTCATTGTGTCTGTGGGCAGCACAGCGGCACCTGCTAACCTCCTGCAAGGTGAGTCACCCCTGGGGGCACAAGAGGCAAGGCCTCTGTTGCACTCAGCTCTTCTGGAAGCTCCCGYCTGAGCATCGTTTAGAACTCTCCATTCTCCCAGGCACTTTAACCAAGTGGACGTGGATTGCACATCTGTCGCGTTCCAGCCACCGAGTGAGTTGTCTGAGGGTGGTTCAGCTCCTGCCCGTGAGGCAGCCGCCCTCGTGTCACACGTGTCACAGGTGTGTCTGGGATGAGCTCAGGCCAGGAACCCTGTCTGCCTCTGGATTCTGCAGTTCTAATGAGATGGACTCCTTGCTTCATGTAAACTCCCTGCAACCAGGCGAGAGGGGTGACGGTGGGGGTAGGACGATCTGGTAAAGACGACGACTCTCCCTCTTCCAGGGGTGGAAGGGGTGCTCCTGAGCTTGGGCCGGACGTGTCCTGCCTGCCCTCAGCCAGGTGCTCATTTCCTGAACCTGAGGAAGGAGAAGGCTGACCTCTTAGGAGCACTCTGAGATGCCCACGGAGTGAGAGGGCTTTATTTTAGTGACACGAAGAAGGAACAGGAGGGAGCCTGACTCAACAGATCCCCTGTCACCTTTAAGGCCCATCACCAAGGGGGAGCATGCTGAAGAGGGATGACCGCTGGCCGGAGGAGCCAGGTGGGTGCCCTGGCCACAGCCTCCCCCCCGCCAGTGGGGTGAAATGAACAAGGATGAGGACTCTCCCGGGCTCCCCTGCCTCCACATCAGACATGCTCCTGGAGCAGCCTTCTGCCGTGGTGAGCACAGAACTCCCAATCCCAGCTGGTCCTTAGCAGCTGTGCTTTGTGSTTGGAATGCGTGTCTGAAGGTGCTGTTTCAGAGTCTGCAGCAACAATTTTGCTACAAAGCTCACTCTAGGCAATGCTATAAATGCCTCCCTGATTGAAAACTGCCTTCTAAAGACAGCATAAATTCAACAAATGCTATCTGTTAGCCACAGGACAGTACTGGGGATCCAGTCCCTGTGCCCAATGCACTAGTAATTTGAACATCAAGTCGTGACTGCAGTTCCTGGGACTGACAGCAGGCGGCAGCATTTCCTTTACAGTTTAACAAGGCTGACAATGGTTGGGGGACACAGCCTTACATTCAGGCCTGTGTATTACGTGCTTAGTGACATGCCAATCATGTCCTATACTGTCCAGCCCAGGAGGTCAGCGCACCATAGAAGCTGTGGACCTAAATTTTCATATGGGAGTGTTTTTCAGCCTTTTTCTGAGCAGATGAGGCAGGATCTGTGACTGCATTAAACATCCTGGTTCTTGCAGAAAAGGGAAACCCCTGGTCACTTTCCTGCAGGAGGGGCCCTGCAGCCAGCAGGTGCCTCCAGGGGCTGAACCCAAGGCCTCAGGCCCCAGCGGGCATGGGGAGAGGGCAGGGATGAAGAAGGGTGAAGCACAGGGCTCAGGGCACATGTCTGCGATCCCAGAGGCTCAGGAGGCTGAGGCAGGAAGACCGCAAACTTCAGCAGGTGGCCGCCTGGACTACTTGGCCAGACCCTGTCTCAAAAATGAAAAACAGCCAGACACGGTGGCACACGCCTGTAATCCCAGCAGCTTGGGAGGCTGAGATAGAAGAATCGCGAGTTCAAATCCAGCCTCAGCAAAAGCGGGGCGTTAAGCAACTCAGTGAGACCCGTCTCTAAGGTAAATACGAAATAGGGCTGGGGGTGTGGCTCAGTGGTGGAGAGCCCCTGAGTTCAGTTCCCGGTACCCCCTCCAAAGTGAAAATAAGAAGGTGCTCCGTGGCAAAGCACCCTGGTTCAATCCCCAGGACCACACACACACGAGGAAGGAACAGAGTGGCCCTTCCTAGCACTGAGCTTTGGGAAGGAGGGCAGCCTGACCGGGCCTCCCCCTGCCAGGCCCTGAGGTTTCTGGCATCTCCCAGAGCCCAGGAGAAGCAAGGCCTGCAGCCTCTACCCATCTAGAGGGACAGAGCTGGCTGCCCACTTGATTTCTATATGAGTTTCCAGGTGACAAAAAGTCACCGATTCCTGGAGACAGGGTCCCTCCTAGGTTCAAGCGGCCGGTCACTACAGGCAGGGCTTTCAGTCTGACATCTACCCTTCCCTCCCAGCTCCAGGAGGGGTGCCCCAGGGGCTCGACCTCTAAGCTCACTTCAGGAAACCCAACACCCTCAACCTGACCTCGCTCCTTTTGTTCCAGCCAGTAAGCGCTCCCAGCCTCCGTGGTTCTCTGGTGAGTGATTCTGTCCTTACTTTGTGGAAAAGAAAACAGTCGGTATGGTGTGCTGACCTCCTGGGCCAGGCCCAGGTCCTCAGAGCACACGCTGCATGGCCACAGCCAGCCTCCTGGGGCAAGGCCGCGGGGAGAAGCTGCCCTCTGTGGAGAGCTGCTGTCTGTGTCTCGTGATGGCGTGGGCTGGAACCCCACGAAACCCCAGAACYGTCGCGCTAGCGCCCGAAAGGCCAGCGGGAGACCCTGTGTTTTGAAAACTCTGCTCCCTGGGGTTCAGTGGAGGGAGGGAGGTACTCTCAGGGCAGCAGGGCCCCCTGCCCTCCTTCCACCTGACCGCTGCAGCCATGTTTTATACTCTTCTGATGGGCTTCTGCTTGGCAGCCTTGGGGGCCAGACACGCGCATTCACCTCGCCCCGTCCCATGGCGGAGGAGAGGACGCAGGCGCCACGAAGTTCGCCCCAATTCCCGTGGTATTCAGTGTGCGTGCCAAGATGCTGGCCCCCGAGACGGGAGGGGAGGGAGCAGAGGTGGCCCGAGTGGGCTGGGGAGCTGCACTGCCCCCGGCTCACTGGCTCTGTTCTGGGGTCGGCCTCCAGGTGGGACGACAGGACATGCAGATGCATTCCTGGCCCTGCAGGTCCTTGGGCGGCGGGGCAGGCCCTGGAGGGGTCTTTCACAGCTGCCGCTGGGCCAGGCCGGCTGGAGGGTGTGCAGGCGGGGTCTGCTGCCCGCGGACTGTCTGCCAGAGCCTTGGTGTGCGGCCGGCTCCTCACCTCAAGGCAGCGGGCCTCTGTGCCGCTTTCCTCACCACAACGCTGGCCTGCTCTGTGGAGGGCCCTGAGGCCACACAGCCCCTCTAGGCACCTCATCTCGAACCCACCCGTCAGGCCTGGGAACAGGACCTGGCTTCCCCGAAGCTTGACCTGGTGCGGTGACAGTAGGTGGCCCACTCTTGGCTGGCGTCCTGAGGTTGGGAGAGTGGTGCTCCTGTCCTCGGCGGACCATGCAGGGGCTCAGTGGGCACTGAGACTCCCAGGTAAAGGGTCCAAGGAGCAGAAAGAAGAGAGATCCGGGGTGGCTGTGTAGCCAGCGTTGAGCTCATACACGGCGTGTGCAAGGCCCTGGGTTGTCCCCAGCGCCATAAAACCCCAAATACTACTAATAAACAAACGACCAGGAAAAAAAATTAAAAAGAGAGATTCATCCTTGAATGTGAAACGGAGAAACTCCCTGCCCAGACCTCGGAGGCCTGCAAGTGGGATGGCTGTGCCTCTTCCTGAGGAGGGGAGACCCCCAGGACGGCCTCCGCCCAGCGACACTTACCTCCTCACCATTCTGGCCCAGCTCTACCCTGGGGGGGAACAGGGGGAGGGAGCAGGGTGGCTTCCTTCTTGTTGGCTTAGTGGCTGGTGTCTAGAGGGAGGGCGACAGACGGACACACGGAGAGAGAAAGAGAGCCCATCAGGCCACAGGGAGGAAGAGGAGGGAGTGGACGCAGGAGTGTCGAGGGCGTCTGGAGAAGGCCGGATGGAGGAGGCCGTGTGGGTGGGCTGCCCGGCGCCATGTGGCCGCTCCGGGACTCAGCATCTCCATCCCTGCAGAACCCCTCCTTCCCCCGACTCACTGACTGGACCAGCGCCTCAAAATGACAACCACAGCCAGCCTCTTTAGCTTTTTAGGCAGTGCCAGCACCGGAGATCCATGTCATCTCCTCTGTCCCTTAGGAAGTTCCTATGAGGTCTAGGAATTATGGGCCCAATTTTTCAGTGGAGAAAACCAAACATCAAAACAGCGCACCTGAGAAGGTAAGCAGGCTGCCAGGGGCCTCCCACCCTGCTCCTCTCCGCTCACCCCTGGTCCCTGAGGCTGGGAAACGAGCCCAGCTCTCCCCAAAGCCACAGGGTCTCCACATTTCCCCCTGAGCAGGACTCCCTCCCGATGCCCGGCTTCCTCCAGGAAGTGCGTCCTCTCGTCCTGCTCAACCCAGGGCCTGCTCCTGATTTCTGGGGGAGGGCAGCCCTGGGAGCCTGGCCTGGCAGCGGTGCAGGAGCTCGGTCTGGGCCAGTGGAAGAGCCAGAGGAGCCCGCTCTGTGGGCCTGTTCACAACACCTCCCGGTCCCTGCTACCCACCTCACTGAGGAGTGCAGCCTGCTCAGGCTCTGCCCCCAGGGCACATACCCGGATCCGAGGGGCCCCTCTGGCTTCTTTTCCTAATTTGGCCATAGCAAGCCTCTCCCTCCTCTTCTCAGCCCGAGCAGACTCCCCTTCCCTCCCAGAACAGGAAGCCGGGAGGCTCACCTCTGTGGCTGCAGCCGCCTGCTCCCGAAACCGCCCGGCCAGCTGGGCCACCGACGGGGGTGCTGAGCTGTCCACGTTGGCATTTGTCTCTGCTGGCCTTTCCTGGCAAGCCAAAGAGAAGCAAAAGTCGATCAGCAAGTGGGCACTTGGCTCTTCAGAGTCTCAGTGCCAGTGCCACGAGGGGCACTGTTTTGTGGCCACCAGCAGGAATGTGGTGACAGGGTAGTAATGGTGTTCTGCCGTGGACGCCTGTATTCAGGAATTTTTACAAAGCCTGCGGTCAACCATGATTAGCAAATATCTACACTACGCTCTGCCCGATCTGCCTCTGGGGGCCTGGGGGCAAATGCATTGGTCCTGTCCTGGAGGGGGGGCCCAGAGATGTGGGGGTAGCACAGGCCAGAGTTCCTCCTTCTGCGAGGACCCAGAGAAGGACTGTATGCACAGTGGTTTCCATCCGTCACCCAGCAACTTTGACAAATGGAGGCTGCAGCGTGCATTTAGAGACATGGGCCTTTGTTGGCAGGAAAGGGGTGAGCAGCCGCCCCTGCTGAATCTAACGCACGGGCCTTGGCTTTCCTACTTAATCGACTGCCTTGGGCAAAGAGTTGTTCCGCAGACACCTGCTGCATTAGGAAGGTGCCTCAGGAGGCGGTGGCCTGCAGGGTGAGAACCAGGCGCTGAGACTCCACCACGGACTCGCCCCTCCCGCCTGGCTGGAGCTCTCCCTGCCTCCACGGGGCTGCAGGTGCCCTCGCAGGGCTGCTCTGTGGGTCAGCTGAGAGGCACGAGGCCTGGAGCCCTGCGAGTGCTTCAGGGTTCTTGTCATCCTGCCTCCAGCTCGGGTCCCTGCTCACTGTCAAGTCCCAGGCCAAGACGCAACATGACATGTCACCGAGCTGTGTCCCCGAGGCAGGGCAGGCAGCAGCCCTAGGAATGCCCCTTGCTCCTACCTCGTTACCCGTGGCCTATGACACCTGGTTTTAATGACACTTTCAGGTCCGATCCCAGGCAGCAGGCTTCACCCTCTTTGTCACAATGGGGACATTTCTTAGACTGCAGACTCCCCCTGCCACCTCCCTCCTGCACATCTAGCTGGAAACTGGGAGGATTGGCAGCAGTTTGAGAAAGTCCATCTCTGCCTGCCCACAGGCCTCGTGGCCCTAAAGACAGGCTCCAGCAGCAGCGCCCCAGCACCCCCACCGGGCACACACCCATTTCCTTGGGCCTCCTTTTTGTGTGACAACTGTCTCAAAGCTTCCTGGCTTCTCCCACCACCAGCCCCCACCAACTCCCAAGAGTGGAGTCAAGGGGCTGGGCTGGGGCTCAGCAGCAGAGCATTTGCCTCCCTCGTGTGAGGCCCTGGGTTCGATCCTTAGCACCACATAAAAATAAACAAAATAAAGGTATTGTGTCCATCTACCACTAAAAACTAAAATAATAATAATAATAATAATAATAATAATAATAATAATAATGGAGTTAAGTAAATGAGAGGAATTTGGAGAAGATTCCTTCAGAGGCGGAGGGTCTCCAGGGTCAGGGAACTGCTGACCTTGAGGGGCTGTGCTGGGCAGCGACCTCGTCCTGTTGCCAGCCCTGGTTCCAGTTCACCTGCATTCCGACCCAACACTCACACTGGTTTCACTGAGAGGTTGAAAGATTCACTTCACTGCTACTGAGGACGCCAGACTGCCTCTAGTGCTGGACAGACGTCCAGCGCCCCACCCCGGGAGCACCCCACGGGGCAGGGCTCACAGGACTCACACCTGTTGGGCCTTCTCATCTGCCATGTCAGAGACCCAAACCTGTCCTCCTGGAACAGGGACAGCCTCTGGGGCGGGCGTGGTGAACCGAGCCACTCTTGGCCCACTGGCCTGTCCATCTGTCCAGCTTCCTGCCCACAGGACCTATCGGCCTCCATTCACTGCTATTTCTTGCGCGGGTCCTGCTGACAGCGCACTCTCCCCCGGCCTCCCGGGCGCCGGCGCTGGTGGCCCAGCACACATTCCAGTTAAAAATAGAGCAGGGCAGGAATCAAAACCTCCTCCCGAACTTCCCTGTCTGGAAACCGGGCTTGGCAGGGGCTCAGCAGCAGCACCGTAAGGCTCTGGGTGCATTTAGAGCTGAAGAGCTGGGTCGCAGGGAAGACTAGCCCCTCTATGTGTCTTCCTGGGGCCCAGGGAGTCGGTCTTAGACTCCAGGACGCCAGAGCTCTTGGGTCCGGCAAGCCCAGACACCTGCCATCATGCTGTGTAAGACTGATCGCTGCCTGCTGCCCACTGGGCACATGAGAGCCCAGAGAGAACAAGTAACTTAGCCAGAATCACACAGGAGAAGCCGAGGGGAATAAACGTTTGTCCCAACACCTGATAAGACAGCCATGGACGTCCGTTAAGAGGTGGAGCTGGGGGAAGTGCCCTGGAAGCTGAAAAGGTGCTATGTGAGCTCCAAATTGTCATCASCCTCCGGGTGCCAGGTGCAGGGGAGGAGGCATGGCCTTGGGGATGGACGGGGCTGGCGGCTCAGTCTGCCTGAGGCTCTGCCTGCATTTCTGCCGGGCAATTCTGCAGCAGACCAGAAACCTCCGCGTCCAGCTCTGCCCCTGGCCAGCTCCCGCTCAGCCCTGAGCTGCTGGGGAAAGCCACGCTCTCACCTGAACTGTGGTCGTAGTTCTGGGAAGGACTCAGCGTCCCCGCTTACTCCCGGGCTTTCCTGAGACCCCTTGGGCTCCCCGGCATTGCATTTCCTTTCCTGGCCCACAAGGAACCGGGCAAGGCCTGAGGTGGGAGGTGCCACCAAGGCTGGTCCCTTCCCCTCCTGCCTCCCACCTGGTCTGCCAGCGTCGGGGCCTGGGCACCGGCTCCAGAGGCCAAGGACACCCTCCGCTCACCCCTGGCAACACAGCGTCTTGGACACTTCTCCCTGTCCTGCCTTCGTCCTCCCTGGCCTCCGCAGCCTGTGGCCTTCCCTCCATCCTCCAGGACCTGATGTGCCTGCCAAGCCTTCCTGTCACCATGCCCACCCGCCAGCTTAGACAGACGGCTGCGGGTGCTGTCCGGCTGCGGGTGCTGTCCGGCTGTGCCGAGGCCAGAAGAAAGTCACCTCTGGTGTTTTCTTTCCATTCCTTTGGCACGTTCTTCTGAAGGAACCCAGGAGCGCTGTGGCTGGACTGGGTGGACCCCTCCCATGGTTGCCATGTGGAGGAAACACGGTTGGGAAGCTGCTGACCGTCCACACAGGGCAGCCTTTGTGGAGCCAGAGTGGGCTCTCCCTSGTCTGCCTCTGCTGCTCCTCCCCCTCCTCCTCCAGGGTCCAAGTGCCCCACAGCCTTGGGCCTCGGCTTAGGGAAACGAGAGGCTCTGCCTAGCCCAGGAGCCCTTGCTCTTGGCCAGAAGGAAGGTTCTCTTGCTCAGGAGAGCAGGCCAGAGGACCAGAGCCTCGACGGCAGATGGCGGCTCGCCCCCTCCATTCTGCAGGACGGCAGAGCCGAAGACAGCCTTGCGGGGAGCCACCCCTCCGAGACGCCAGCCATCACCTAAGAGGCACCCTGTTGTCCCTTCAGGCTCGGTGGTCTCTCGTTGGCTGCTGATCCTTTAACTCTTCCCTTTCCTCCACTCCCCAGCCACCCAGGGTTGAGCACCGCCATTGCAGGTTGGCGGGAAGGCCCCTGGACTGGACCTCGTAGGCCCCTCGCCCTACCTGCTGACCCAGAGCACCTGCAGCTACAGTGGGTGTGTCCCCGTGAGGCTGACCACTTCTAGCAGGGAGGCTGGCAGAGGGGCCGAGCACCTTGCTCTTCAGGTTAGTAAGTACTGGCACAGGGACGCCTGGGCCTGGCTCCGGGGCCCAGCTCCCTCCAAGACTGACCCTAACCGCCTCTCGTACTGTTCTGGCCTCCGAGGCTGACGCTGAGCAAGACAGCGGTCCTTCCCTCCCGCAGTCGACCTCCAGTGGTCAGCCAGGCCTGTGCCACGGCCCTGAGAACGTCGAATGGTCACCTCTGCTCTGGTCACAGGCAGACAGCACTGAGGAGGGGGATCCGGCTGGATCCCAGTCAGGGACAAGACGGGAGGAAAACTATTCTGAACAGAAACACAGATGGGGCTGGGTTGTGGCTCAGTGGTTGARTGCTCGCCCAGCACATGTGAGGCCCTGGGTTCGAGCCTTAGCGCCACATAAATGAAATAAAGATACTGTGTCCACTGACGACTAAAAAATAAATATTAAAAAAAAAAAAAGAAAAAAAAACACAGATGGGAACCCAGGTTGAGGGACAGGGACAGAGAAGTGGGGCAGGCCAGGCTGTGCACCAGAGGGGACTGGAGAGGAAGGGCCGGGCAGTCTGGGGCAGCAGCAGGGCAAGTGTGGTGCCTCCTGCTGAGTGATGGGGTCCACWCGGAGGCTCCCAAGGAGGGACTGACCTGCCACTGACAGGCCTCTGTGGAGGACRGACGGGCAGAAGCAGACCAGGAGGCAGGCCCTGGCAAGGTCCAGCTGAGAGGAGGCGGGCCCTGGAAAGGTTCAGTGGAGAGGTGACAGTGAGTGGACCAGGCCTGTCCCAGGGTGGGGTGGGAGGAGGGCTCAGGRGTGGGACCTGGGAACCCTGGCACAGGGGTGGGAGGAAGGGACAGAGGGGATGGGTCCTGATGGCTGGCTGGGTAGCGGGTCCCTGGGGACTTCTGGGCTGGAGAGCCTGGCGGTCAGGGAGCGCCACAGAGGCAGTGATGACGAGTCCTCACAGAGGTCCCCACACCCAGCGCTCGGTCTCCTCAGGGGGTACCTGCTCACACCTCAAGTGCCCACTCGGGACACGGGAAGTCCCGGGGACAGCCGTCCCTGAGGCTGCACCGCAGAAGGCYGGGGTGGGGGAGGGTTGGCTCCAGAGCGGATACTGCACCGAGGGGCATTTCAGTCTGTTCCAGGGAGCCTGGAACCTGCCAGCAAATCAAGCCCCGTGGCTCAGGGCGATGAGGCTGCCATGGATCCAGGCTTCCAGCACAGGCCTCGAAGCAGGGGACCACCCCGGATTGTGTGGGTGGCCCTCATGACCACAGGGGCCTCAGAGTGCAGGAGATGGCAGGAGAGTCAGGGTCAGAGGG